GTCAGATGGGATGGGGACACACCAGGGACACTCCAGGGACATGAAGGGACAGGTCAGATGGGATGGGGACACCCCAGGGACACCCCAGGGACATGAGGGGACATGTCAGATGGGATGGGGACACACCAGGGACATCCCAGGGACATGAGGGGACATGTCAGATGGGATGGGGACACCCCAGGGACACCCCAGGGACATGAGGGGACAGGTCAGATGGGATGGGGACACCCCAGGGACACCCCAGGGACATGAGGGGACAGGTCAGATGGGATGGGGACACACCAGGGACACCCCAGGGACATGAGGGGACACCTTGGCTGAGGTGGAGAGCAAGGCTGAAGACCTGGGAGGGATGGGACAGGTCAGGGACACCCTGGGGACATGATGGGGACACACCAGGGACATGAGGGGACATGTCAGATGGGATGGGGACACCCCAGGGACACACCAGGGACATGAGGGGACATGTCAGATGGGATGGGGACACCCCAGGGACACCCTATGGACATGGGGGGACACCCTGGCTGAGGTGGGGAGCGAGGTTGAAGGCCTGAGAGGATGGGGACATTGTAGAGGCATCATGGGGACGTGGTGGGGACATCCCAGGGACACACCAGGGACAGGAGGGTGCCCGAGGATGGCACGGCACAGGTGACACTGCACAGGTGACACTGTCCAGGTGCAGGGGTGGCACTGCACAGGTGACACTGTCCAGGTGACACTGTCCAGGTGCCAGGGGTGGCACTGCACAGGTGACACTGTCCAGGTGACACTGCCCAGGTGACACTGCACAGGTGACACTGTCCAGGTGACACTGCCCAGGTGACACTGCCCAGGTGACACTGCACAGGTGCCCGGTGCCCACCTGGATGTCGTTGTGGGGGTTCCAGTCCGAGTCGAAGATGACCACGGTGTCGGCCGTCGCCAGGTTGATGCCGAGGCCCCCGGCCCGCGTCGACAGCAGGAAACAGAACTGCTGCGCCCCCGGCGCTGCCCCCCCGGCGTCAGTGACGGACCCAAAACACCCCAAACTCACCCCAAAAACACCCCAAACTCACCCCAAAAATACCTGAATTCCCCAGGACACCTGCACACCCCCTGTCCCCTGTCCCCATCCCTGTTCCCATCCCCTGTCCCTGTCCCTATCCCTGTCCCCATCCCCATCTCCGTCCCTGTCCCTTGTCCCTGTCCCCTCCCTGTGCCCTGTCCCCTGTCCCTTTCCCTTTCCCTGTCCCCCGTCCCCTGTCCCTGTCCCCTGTCCCCGTCCCTGTGTCCCTGTGTCCCTGTCCCCATCCCTTGTCCCCGTCCCCGTCCCCTCCCTACCATTGAAGCGGTCAATGGCTTCCTGCCGCAGAGCTCTGGTCCATCCCCTGTCCCTGTCCCTGTCCCTGTCCTCTGTCCCCGTCCCTGTGTCCCTGTCCCCTCCCTGTGCCCTGTCCCCGTCCCTGTGTCCCTGTCCCCATCCCCTGTCCCTTGTCCCCGTCCCTACCGTTGAAGCGGTCAATGGCCTCCTGCTGCAGGGCCCTGGTCCATCCCCTGTCCCTGTCCCTGTCCCCGTCCCTTGTCCCCTGTCCCCTGTCCCTTCCCCTGTCCCCTGTCCCTGTCCCCGTCCCTGTGTCCCTGTCCCCATCCCTGTCCCTTGTCCCCTGTCCCCTGTCCCTGTCCCTGTCCCTTGTCCCCCTCCCTACCGTTGAAGCAGTCAATGGCCTCCTGCCGCAGAGCTCTGGTCCATCCCCTGTCCCTGTCCCCATCCCTGTGCCCTGTCCCCTGTCCCCTGTCCCCATCCCTGTGTCCCCTCTCTGTCCCCTATCCCCTGTCCCTGTCCCTTGTCCCCCTCCCTACCATTGAAGTGGTCGATGGCCTCCTGCCACAGGGCCCTGGTCCATCTCCTGTCCCTGTCCCTTGTCCCCTGTCCCTTGTCCCCTGTCCCTGTCCCTGTGTCCCTGTCCCTTGTCCCCGTCCCTACCATTGAAGTGGTCGATGGCCTCCTGCCGCAGGGCCCTGGTCCATCTCCTGTCCCTGTCCCCATCCCTGTCCCTGTGTCCCTGTCCCTGTGTCCCTGTCCCTGTCCCTTGTCCCCTGTCCCTGTCCCTGTGTTCCTGTCCCTGTCCCCATCCCCGTCCCTTGTCCCCTGTCCCTGTGTCCCTGTCCCTGTCCCTGTCCCTGTCCCTGTGTCCCTGTCCCTGTCCCTGTGTTCCTGTCCCTGTCCCCATCCCCGTCCCTTGTCCCCTGTCCCCGTCCCTGTCCCCGTCCCCTCCCTACCGTTGAAGCGGTCGATGGCCTCCTGCCGCAGGG